GCAAATTTTCAAATAGCATTCTATTTTTTTATAAATGATTAATAAATAGATCCTGAAGGAATCAAAAATTTTTCCTTAAAATTTTAAAATTACACAACTATCTTGTACATGAATATAAAATTGATGGTCGTTGGCTATTAATTCAACCTACAGTATTATGTCTTCTAAATAAAAGACTGCCCTTACTGATGCCCAGAAGCATGAGTTCTGTACTTATGCTCATAATAATAAAATGACTCGTACAAAATACATAGATTGGATTGAAGAGAAATGGGGAGTTAGAGTACATGAATCAACTATTACACGAATCTTACAAACCAAAGATAAATAGCTTACCACTGAAATTGTTAACCCTGATAAAAAAAGAAATAGAGCCGTTACAATTCCAGCCCTTGAGCTTGCTCTTCACGAATTTGTGCTAACCTATTAGCATAAAACGATTTTAAGTGATGCGATGTTAATTAAGAAAGCAAAAATACTTGCTAGTGGGTTAGGTGTTCTTGAAGGTACTTTGCAATTTTCCTCAGGCTGGCTTCACAAATTCAAGGAGCGTAATGAAATCCACAAAGAAAAACTCCATAATGAAGCAGAATCTGCTAACAATGTATCTATCATTCAGGCTCTTCTATTATTGCAAAGCAAATGTGCTGATTATCCTCCTGAATGAATATATAACATGAATGAAACTGCCCTTTTTTATTGGTTAGAACCGGATCACTCATTAGCTACACAGCGTCTTTCTGGACGTAAAAAAAATAAAGAACATATTACTGTTGCTTTGTGTGCGAATTCTGATGGTTCACATAAGCTAAATCCTCTGATTATTAGAAAATATGCGTGACCACGCTGTTTTAAGAATGTTAAAATTTTCAATATGCAAATGACCTACCGGAATAGTGCTAAAGCTTGGATATTAACAAGTATTTTTCAACAATGGCTTCGAGATTTTGATCGCAAAATATTAAAAAAGTATAAAGGTCAGCCAGTTTTATTGCTTCTTGATAATTGCTTAAGCCACAAAACCGGCGATCTAGTTCTTCAGAATATAAAAACATGTTTTTTGCCTAAAAATACAACTTCAAAGATCCAACCTATGGATGCTGGAATTATAATGTCTTTTAAGAGAAATTATCGTCGTCACCATATTCGATGGATGCTTGACCAAGTTAAGAATAGTATGAATGCGCAAGATCTAAAAATAGATATTTTGCAAGGTATTAAATATATTATCCAAGGCTGGAATGAAGTTACAGAAAGAACCATCCAAAACTGCTGACGTCATACTAATATCCTTTCTGTTTGGGATAATAATGCAAGCATTGATGATAATGATGAAGTATTGCTTGATGAGCCATTACTTGAGGAACTTTCAGAAAATATTAAAAATCTTAATTTTTCCGATCCGATGCAAGTAGAAGAGTATCTAGGTATCCCTGAGGAGAATGTTGTCTATGAAGTTCCTGAAGAGGATCAAATTATTTCTGATCTTGTAGAAACCTTTAGAGAGAGACCTGATGAAATGGAAAATGAAGATCCTGAAGAGGCGGATGATAGTGTTGAAAAAGAAATCGTAACCCCTAGTGAAGCTTTAAAGAGTCTGGAAAATACACGTGCCTTTTTGCTTCAGCAAGATAATGCAAGCGAATGTATAAAGTTAGTTAGTACAATTGAAAAGTTTATTATTGCTAAAAAAAATGGTTTGATGAAACAATCTTTAATAGATCGATATTTCAACAGCAATGTTAATGAAATGGAAGTATCACAATCGATAAACACTTTAGAGGCTCCAGATAATTGGATGTTTTAGTTTTTGTATTGCAGTATGTATATTTGTACATACTAATATCTATATATCAAATTTATTTTTCAAATAAATAAATAAATAAACTGCTTTTGATCAATTTTAATACATGATGTTTAAATTATTTTATCTTTGATGTAAAACTAGACTACCAAAATTATTTTTTGGCTGTCTACATAGATAATTTAATATGTCTTAATATGCTGAAATATTTTAGTATACCGAAATTATTTTTGGGTGGCAAATATATTTTGGATGATAATTTCGCCAGATGAAAATAATTTCATCATATCGTATTTTGAAGCCATGACGAAAATATTTAATTTTTTAGTTAAACTTTACTGTGTAGATACCGCACAATTTAGATACTTTTCTATGCGGCAAACAAGAAAAACTATGAGCAACTATTTATAAGTGTGCGCACTACTTACAACCTGTTAATTTTTCTGTGCAACATCTGCACATCTGTTCAAAAGAAAATGTGTGCGCAACGATTTGTTTCTGTATGCTGCGCATAGTCCACACAGCGAAAAATCATTACTGATATTGTGCATAACTATTCTATATAACTTAGTATATTCTTTAAATGCAAGCCCAAGCCCAGCTTCAAGAGGGATGCATTTAGGGAGGTTTTTGTTTAATTCTTTAAATGCACAACCTCTATAAATGCACACCAAAGCCTGGTCCCAAGGGGGTGCATTTAGAGAGGTTCCTCTGTATTCTTAAACTTTAGTAAAGAGTGTGTTGAAAACTCGTTTGTTGTTCTCCTTTAGACTAACTATTATTTAACTTCGTCGACAGAAGCAGTGCTTCTATTAAAATTTTTGTATAAGGGCACTACCTTCTTGCTAATTATCTTGTACAAGAATGCTTTTAACTTGCATGCCAAATATACAGAGGAGTCTGGAAAAAGAACATGACAAATCTTGATCTCTGTAAAAACTACTATTTATAGTTGTCTCTTCTACTTTTCTCTAACAAGTTTCTGTTTTCATTTGC